AATAAATAAATAAATAAATAAATAAATAAGGCAGGTGATGAACAAAGAATGCAAAATCAGATCCAAGAGAAACTTACGAATAATATGGAGCTGAATGACCTGCTGGGAGTGGAAGTGACCGATACTGACAGTACAGATGTAGGTTCCCTCATCGCTAACTTTCAGATTGTTCAGCATCAGAGAGACGTTCCCCTGACCGACAACCAGAGCAGCGTCTACGCTGGAGCCTTTCCTCTCTCCTTCAACTGAAGACGGAAAAGAAGAGATGCTCAGAAGTTGCCAAACTCTCACAAAGTTATCTCACATTTCTGACACTCATGCAAACTAAATTCCACATAATTCTGACTATTGTAAGAGAAAATTTGTGGCACTAACTTAATTCAAACACATTAAATATTGCCTGACAGGACAGCAAGGCCCTGTGACTCAGGTGAGAAAATCAGGATTCCTTAAAGACCTGCCTAAAACTGTATCACTCTTCATAGCACTCACCTACTGTGACCCCTTCTGTATCGTTTAGCTTTGTCTTCATTTCAAGCAGCTTCCGGCCCTTTCCTCTGTGCTGCAGGCGCCATTCGACGCCAACCTCCGGTCCTAACGGTACCTCCTCCTGCTTGAAGCCACARTTGAGGAGAACGTCGCCTCTCAGAGGAGTGGATACAGACTTTATGTTGGAAAACACTAGGAATATCACTAAGATAAAAAAAGACAAAATATATTGTTTGTTACTTTTACACTTTTCAAAAATATTTAAATTTATTCCAAATAATTTTACAAAAAATATTAATATTTTTTTAATTTCTTCAAAATCATTTTTTATGAAACTTGCTTCAACACCCAATTCAAATTTAGCATTTTATGCTATTTTTAGCTTTTAGCTTCAATTCTATTAATTTTAGCTAAGCTTTAGCCACATGTAGTGTTTAGCTATCCTTTTGTTGCTTTTAGCTAATCTTTTGCTACACTTGGCTTTCAACTTTTTTTGCTACTTTTAGCTAAACTTTTACTTTTAGTTACTAGCTAATTTAGGCTTTTACCTAGCCTTTCACCTCTTTTAGCTAGCTAACCTTTTGCCACTTTAAGCTTGAAGCAGCCTTTTGATAGTTAAATATTTAGCTACTTTTAGCATAATAGACTGTGGCGGGCAGCTCTAATCTAAATATTACTTGCACTAACACTAAAGCACTAACTCAAATATTTAGGTCCCCTAATTCTAAAGCACTAATGCACTGAAAAATGTACCAAATGATAATTATAAAGCACTAAAATAATCCAGCTGACACATGAAACATTCTTCAGTCAACATGAGACAACATTTACTGTGTGCAGAATATTGTCACTTAATGCCCTTGGCGGGCCAAACGGGAGTCACCCGCAGGCCACATTTGGCCCACAGGCCTWRAGTTTGACACGACCTTGTAGATAATTAACACACATATGAACAAAATGTGTGACAGCTTTCACCCTCAACTGTGAACAATAATGTTGATCAATAACATTTAAAGATCTCAGTTAGTGCTTCTAAATTTAGCCCATAAATTTAGCAAGTGCTAATCCACTGATGAATTAAAAAAATAACAAAAGCCCTAAAGCACTAACCAAGAAATTAGTTCCCCTATTAGTGCTTTAGGGGAACTGTGCCTACCACTGATAATAGATAGCCTTTTCACACTTTCAACTTTTGGCCAGTCTTTTCTTATTTTAATCCTTGAGCTAGTCTTTTGATATTTTAACTAGCCTTTTGATATTTTTAGCTTGTATTTAGCTACTTTTATCTTATACCGGTAGTTGATTTATTGCTACTCTTGGCTTATAATCAGCATTTGGACAGTCTTTAGCTAGCTTTTTGCTAGTTTACGCCTCTAGCGAGCCTTTTACAACCTTTCGCTTTTATCTGGCCTTTTGATACTTTTAGCTAGCCTTAAGGTTTTAGCTAGGTTTTTTTTTAATACTTTCATATTTAGTTACCATTTAGTTACTTTTAGTAAGTGTTTTGCACTTTTATTTAAAGCTAGCATTTTGATACTTATCAAAATAAAGCTAACCTTTTACTGCTCTTAGCTATCATGTTGCTACTTTGAGCATTTAGCTTGTGTTCTGTTTCTTTTACAGCATATTTGATATTTTAATAAATGAATGTTTTCTGCGTGACGTGTTATTTTACCTTTTGTCAGCAGAGTTCCTGACTGGCTGAGAGGCAAACCCAGTTTGCTTTGTAGCAGGGTGGACTGGTCCTTCTCCACTGACAAAGTCTGGAGGATCAGAGAGGAGCTGAAGTCCAGTTCATCCATACTGAGAGACACCATGAAATAGGCCGGACCAGAACCTTCCTGGAGCCCCCGAGGAGAGTAGCGACTTATTTCACACATGACCTCCTGCTCGTTGCAGTCTGCGTGGAGCAACAGGTCTGCGTTGGGGATCTCTGGTGAAGACGCTTTGGAGGAGGAGGAAGGAGATGAATGAAACACTGGTTGTACTTATTATTATACACTAAAGTTAATAAAACAGGAGGAACCTTTGAGTTCAAACAGGAGGAGGTTTGGATCAGGCACTGAAGCCGGGACATATGGAGTGAGTGTGTCGAGTGGTTCCTCTGGGCCCACCGGAACATCTCGTAGAACCAGGGTGGCTGGGGTTCGAGTGAAAAGACCACCACCCATTCCTCCCAGCCCAACGCCGTCCTCCACCAGTTCACAGGACAGTACAACATCTGCAACACCATCCCCTTTAAAGCAATAAATAAATAAATAAATAAATA